GTGGACAAATCAGATCACGCCACGTGTAAAGGTACTGAAACGGCACGACTTTTCAGGGCCGACAAGAATTACAACGGCCATATTGCATTAATGGAGGCGTCGCTTCAGCTCGCGTCATCAATATACCCGAAGCAAGATGAATTCGACCCAAGTGAAATGGGCAAGCCGAGGTGAAATTTAGCGAACTCGGGGCTGAAACACCATTATAGCGACCTCAGATGAGATGCTGGGAAACCTCCCCTCCGAGCTCGGGGGCCTGTATGTTGATATCCGAGTTAGCTGGGGATGAACCGGGGATATGTTGCCAACCAAGACTCGGGCTCAGGAACCGGTCTGGAACAGAAGTGCCGAGCTGAACTGAGAAATTAAGTGTCCAGGATCTCCATGGGAACGTTTTCCGAGGCCGGCACCCAGGCTCAGTGAATGCTCGAGCCGACCTGGACCGGTGCTAGGCTGAAAGAGGGATCCTGGATGTCCAATCAGCGCATTAAAGAGAAGTGCCGACCTGAAGGCCCAGGACGGCCATCACGAAGGCAAGGACGAGGCTCGGTAAACATTAAAGTATTCCCACTTGGAAGGTCATCATTGGATGATGGGACGGGCTGTCATAGCCTGTCACTCTACCAGCAAGCCTAGTCAAGAAATTCTGCCAGCATTAAATGCCCCCATGCTTGCATTAAATGCCTGACAGACAATGATTGAAGAAATCTCAAATTGCATTAAATAAGTGTCATGGAGACGCCCAACTGCTCTGCAAGATTACCGTGCGACAGGACCGGTGAACAGTACCTGAACAGCACCTCATTTAAGGATATTATAAATAGCAGCTCATTTCATTTATTTTGGGTTGTTGAATCTCAACTAACTCTGCCTTCTATATACTTTCTCTCTTTAAAAACTGTAAGAAATCCTTTGTAAGAATTATAAGTATATCGCAAGTGCCGAACTCGTACGAGAGGCCGACCTCGTGATCACTTAATAAAATCGTAATTAAACTATATCTTTCCTTTGTTTTCAGTCCCGCACTTTCATTATTTATCATTTTAACCGTGACCGAAAACGCTCGTCAACACGGCGATTTGAAGAAAGCCAGATGCGACGGCCAAAACTTTCATTTTTTCTGGATGAAACTGATTTCACAAGATCGATTTTTTGG